ATAGTCAAGTGGTGAAGGAACTTCAAACACTAGCAGTCAATTTGAGGAGGAAACTCATGTTGATCCAATTGATGAGTTTGTACCTCTAAGGCATTCTACGATAGTTAGGAACGCACCTGAGCACTACTTTGGTTTCCATATTACTGTGGAAGGTGAGACGCTTATCAGTGATGAGACACTGGTAAGTCTGGATGAACCTAACAGTTATGCGGAAGCCATAGCAAGCCCGGAGTCTACTAAATGGAAAGAGGCAATGGACAGCGAGATACAGTCCATGTATGACAATCAAGTTTGGAACTTGGTTGAAAATGTACCAGGTCGCAAGACAACTGGGTGTAAATGGATCTTCAAGAATAAGACCGACAAGGATGGTAATGTACACACTTATAAGGCACAGCTGGTTGCACAGGTTGTTTCTCAAACTTTGGGAGTTGATTATGATGAGACATTTTTAACAGTAGAAAAAATTAAGTCTATTAGGGTTATGTTAGCCATTGCTGCATTTCATGACTATGAAATATGACAAACGGATGTCGAAACTGCTTTCCTTAATGGAAAGTTGGCTGAAGATGTTTACATGAGCCATCCAGAGGGTTTTGTTAGTATAGAGTACCCTAATAGAGTGTGTAAGCATGAGAAATCCATCTATGGATTGAAATAGGTACCTTGTAGGTGGAATCTTTGTTTCGATGAGAAAGTCAAAGTGTTTGGCTTCTCGAGGAGTGAAGATGAATCTTGTGTATATGTCAAGGCTAGTGGGACTATAGTCAGTTTTTTGGTACTGTATGTGGATGACATAGTACTCATAGGAAATGACATCCCAACCTTGCAGGAAGTGAATTCCTAGTTTGGGAACTGTTTCGCTATGAAAGACCTAGGAGAAGCTGCCTATATTCTGGGAATAAGTATTTTGACAGACCGGAGTAAAACACTAATTAGACTTAGTCAGAGTTCCTACTTGGATAAGGTGCTAAAGAGGTTCAAAATGAAGGATTCCAAGAAAGGAGTGTTACTTATCCAGAGTAACGCCAGATTGACTAAGACTCAAAGCCCGAGTACCAAGGCCGAGATAGCATAAATGAGTGGAGAACCTTATGCTTCTGCTGCAGGCTCGATCATGTATGATATGACTTGTATTTTTCCTAATGTACGCTTTTCTTTGAGAATGGTTAGAAGCTATCAGGGGAATCCTGATAAGACTCACTGGACTGCGGTAAAAGAATATCCTCATGTACCTGCAGAGGACTAAGGACTGGATCCTTAATCTCAGTGGGAGTGATGACTTGAGAGTTTTAGGGCATAGTGATCCTAGCTTCCAAACTGATAGGGATAATTTATGCTCTCAATCAGGTTGGGTCTTTACCTTAAACGGAGGAGAAATGCATTTGGTGTTGTGTGATACATTTGAGGCATCACACTTGGGGTTCTAGGCACACAAGGTTTTCAAGTAATCAAAATTACTACAAGGTATGTATTTCTAGCTATCTTTTATGTTTAAAGTTCCCCATGTATGCTAGATAGCATTAAGAACCATGGAAATCAAAAGTTTCATGTATTTTAGACAAACATAGATTCAAGGTTTCTAGGGTTGTATGTACACCTTCGGATTGTTAGAATGCTCAAAACCCTTCAATTCCTCCATAGATCCTCTGGCACAAAGTGCGAGATTAGTTTCCCTTTTGAACCCAGTCCATTTTGAAGCTAGGTTGATCATTGTAATCTACACAAGGTACTCTCTCCCATGACATATCCTGTTTATCAGACACGGAAGATGAAGAAGTGTTAGAATCATTAATTGATTTAGGAGTGCGAACCTTTGGAACCCCCCCCCCCCCTAATCGATTTTCCCCATTCCTATCATCTAATTGAATTTCCGAAATTGCCCCTACTTCCTATGAGTTGTATGACATACTATATTGAAGTAGTTTCCATAATCATTCTTCCATTTCACCTAATATAAGTCTCCATCTTTGATTTAGTCAAATTGAATTCCTACCAAATATACCCCCAGAGCATTTCACCAAGATTTTGCTTTTCAAACGGAAGATTAGAGCAAATATGATTGCTAATCTATTCCAAAAGTAACGCTCAACATTGCAAATTGAAAGCGATAAATCAGGAACTTCAGCAAATGAATTTGTGTATATTGATTTTGTCTCCCATTCATTTGATTCAAACTCTAAAATCAACTTCTTCTGGTTCTCTATTTTCATTTCTAGCTCTTGAGCTTCGTAGAATCGCAAACATTAATAATGTCTGGTACATTGCTTGGTCTGGTTTCACATCATTTAACTCTTCTGCCATCGAGGTATTCCTCTATTCCACTCTTATATATGTCAGTTTTATTTGGTTATAATCGGTGTGTATGCTTTTCAGAAACAAGTTGTAAGTTTGAAGTTTATAACTTTAGTCTTTATGTAAGTGATTCTGAATTTAAATGCATATAAGGATCATTAGAACCGTAATAGTGTTTGCAAGATGAAATTCAAGAGTTTGAATTAGAATTAGATCAAAATTAGTTCAAGTAGCAAGTAATAACGAACAAGGAATTAGTGTGTTATGTTCGTGAGACTATATGTGTTAATGTGCTTGTATGTGCGTTATTGTGGTTGTTAGTGTGTTGTTGTTGTTGTTGTTGTTGTTGTTGTTGTTGTGTATGCCAAAGTTTATATTTTGTCACTATACATTGCACTCTAAGTGTTTGAAAAAGTGGCCATGAAAACTTTTTTCTCCGTATACATTGCATTTTAGGTGTTATTTTAGGGGTTGGGTAAGAAAATGTAAAATTATGTTTTTTGAGATTAGTTGTTTTGGTATTCTTTTTTTTAGATGAAAAATTTCATGAATTATATAATAGTGGTTCTTTCCTTTTAATGGTTGGTTTATAGTCACTAAATTTGATGTTCATTTTTTATTTAGCTCATGTAAATATTTTGTTTTGAAAGTATTACTTAGTGTCAACTTTAAAGAGTTTCGAAGAGTGGTAGGTAGGTAAATACTCTATTATATTGACTCATTTGAAAAAACATCAACATTATGGTTATTATTTCACATCTGGGAAAAAACAATGATTTTTTTTTTTTTTTGCTTTTGAGCTTTGATATAAGCATGGAACCTGCTCGCTTTGCAACTTATAGGGGTATAGCATGTCTGACACTTCATCTTAAGGTTGGTTGTTTTTTAGTTCATAGAGAGACATATACACCAGATAGATCACTTCACAATGAAATTGATTGTGTCAAAACTTTGGTAGTTTCTTTTAATCTGTTTATTGTTTATTTATAGTTGGTACTTGGTAATTTGGTTTCATTTTCTTTAATACCAAATTTCCACCCAACTAAATTATTGATTATATTTTTATATTCATTAGTTAAATTTATATATTGTTCATGCTTACATTATATATATTAGAACATTCTAACTATAAATTTATATGTTCTTTAATTTTAGATCTTGTTGCAATCTGGGCAACTTTCTTAGATTTTTGTGTTTAGTTAAAAATACATGAGCTTGGTATAATAGAAACACCAGATGATTTTTTTGTAGACGTATGTAGATTTATTATATTGCATTGCAAGAACTAATCCAATTCATTTTCTTTATAACATCCTACTATTATTATGTTAATAGTATTTTTATATATTTAATTAAAATGATATTTTTCGTGAATTTGAGTAACATTTATATCAAGGAGAAGCTACACCTTAAAGAAAGGAGGTTAAGTGAGGAGGATGAACATTTAGCAATTTAATTTGGTGATTGCAAGATCATCTTTAAAGGGATTATTTCCAGCCGAATAATCATTAATCATATTGATGTGTTGATTATAGTTATGGATGGTTAGGTAGTTTTACATTTCATTTAATAGTTAGTTTTGGTGCCTATCCTAACCTGATTCCTTATATCCAATTATAGTCGATTCCTAACCTACATTTTCATATCCTAGATCCTGATTATCCGAATGTAACATTGGAGTTGACCTTTTTTAATTCATAGTTTGGATGCGGGGATCTTAAAAGATTGAGGATTTGGGGTATGGTAGAAAGGTGATGGTTGGTATGATACATTCATTAGGTTTGGCTAAGTTTTGGTATTTCTACCCTTTTTTTGTGTATCGTGCTCTATGTATACATAGCACCATAGTTTAACAAAAGAGAGGTTACGTATGCCACTCTAGTTGAATTTGATTTAGTATTGATCATGGTATGCATTTCAAAATTGCAATTTTCATCTTACCTTCCATCCGGACGATTTTGCTCTAGATAATGGTGTCATGTTTTTTGGAAAATATTGATGGATTCTGGTGATCAAGCATTACACTACAAGAAAAATAGCCTTTTACGACGCGCAAACCACGACACTCATTGATTTATGTTACGATATGGAGAGTGACGTTAAAAAAGTGTCATCTCTTCAAAAAATTTAAGGATTTAGGTCATGCATTATTGCGTGCCCTTAAATTAGCGTCATACGAGAAAAAATTAAAAACACGGAGGGCGTTGTATCTTAAATGGGCGTCCTCTATGAGTGTCGCTTTATAATTTTACTGAAAAGAGCGTTTAGTAGATAGGGGGAAAATGAAATCCCTAAAATTTTGAACACCCGCCTTCATTTTTATCCTCCTCTTTTGTTTCCTTCTTGCCCTAATTACGATCCTTTCTTCCCCCTCCATAGATTCGACTGCCGCCTTGCCTAGTTATCAACACTCCTTCCTTCGTTCCTCACTTGCCTTCTTCGCCTGACAATATCTCAAGAAGTACAACTCCGAAAGCGTACAAGTCGGACTTATGTGTCGGAACTCCGGTAGACTGAAATTCAGGCAACATGTAGCCTCGTGTTCCCTAAAATTTCACGAATCTTGAATTTGGCTTACTTGAATCTCGTTCCAAGCTGCTATCGGTTTCGCCACAGAGTTCCGCCGTTCCAAAAGCGCATATTTTCGCGTTGAGTGACTATGATTGGGTTACAATTATGCTTGAGCCGACGATTGGGTTTCAATTATGTTTGAAAGTGTGAAGAACTTACATGCTCCATCTAATCATGTCATACTTCATGTTTGTATCACAAATATTGAAGGTCTATCCATTTCTTCTGACATATGGGTTTCAAAATTTGGGGTTTTTATGGGATTTGAAGTTATGGAGATGCAAGGTGCCCTCAAGGTGCTCGATGAAATGCCAGACTGTGTAAGTATATTTTTTTCATATTTGATTAGAAAAAGCGATAACAAAAATACTTCCTCATCAACTCATCTTATGGGTTGTGCTTCTTTGTTTAAAACACGATTACAAATTGGGGAATCCTCCTCCTATCGCATCCTCTTCTAATTTCTTTCTTCTAATTTCTTTGTTTACTGATTTTTTCTAATTTCATATTGATTTCATCTCTTGTTTCTCTATTCACAGATCTTCCAATCATCAAGGATGTATTGGAGATTGCTAATGTATTAAACAACAAATGGAAGGTAAGTAATACCTCAAAAAACATATTTGATACCTGATCTTCATTCCATACTCACCATATATATTCGAATGTTATTATATTTTTTAATCTCCCGTTACTATTTATTTGAAATTTATTGCTTCTGTTATTCGTTTTGTAACAGAGGCAAGTGGAATTAATGTACATAATCACCTATGACATTCTTTTCGGATAGGTATCTTCACTTTCTAGGATGCCACATCATACAATATTTTCTTTAAATTAATCATATACATAATTTTAACATTTCTTCATAGGATTCATCTCTAACAGGAGATCCAGAAAAGTACCTTATTTTGCGGGAAAAGTCAACTACAGTCAGCTCTTGCAAAGATCTTATTAAAGAAGGGAGCAAAACGTATAGAAGATTTAATGTCCCAATATAAGATTCCCGGTTTGTTCTACCAATAACATTCCACTTTATTATTTATAATTTACACAACCATATTTATTAAACGAGATCTATGATTTATCATTTATGTAGCAGATGTTAAAAAACCTCGCTATGTTCGTGTCAATACTCTAAAATTGGATGTTGAAACTGCTGTGTCTGAATTAAGCAAAGATAATATGGTAACATTAATATACATTATGGTACCCTATTTAATTTATCTTTTTTATTTTTCTGATTTTAGTTATAATAATCTTTATAGGTCGAGAAGGATGACATGATTCCCGATTTATTAGTGCTTCCACCAGCTACTGATTTGCACAATCATCCTTTGGTCACAAACGGAAGTGTATTTATGCAAGTAAGATTTAGTAATTTTTTTCATTTTGGTTTATTTTATTTCATCCATAATTACTTTAATATAATTTTTTTTTAGGGTAAGGCAAGTTCCATGGTGGCAGTTGCCCTTGGGCCTAAACCAGGGTGGGAAACATTGTTACTAGAGTTCATGCATGGGTATGTAGAAATGATGATGGGCATGAGATGGGTTCGATCACCGAACCATTTACGTGGGTCCCACATGTTAAATCCAAGATCATCCTGTTCAATTGGGCATAGCATGACAGGGTTTGGCAAACACCAGTTGGTATAGACTCTGAAAAAACAGGAAACTAGCATACTAGGTATTGCATTGGGATAAAGTTGGCATACCTGAGCAACTAAAAGAGCCTCCGAAGGGGAAGTTGTTGACGATTTGTTTTCTGCTTATATGAATCTTGAAAATCTTGACACATTAAACTCTTCTGGAACTGACGATAAACAAGGAACTGAGAATCGTGAAGATTTAGATAGTCGAGCTAGTGGAACAAAAACAGATGGAGGTGATAGCAGTGATAATGAAGCTGCAAGTAGTGTTAAGGATAAAGGGATTAAACGGAGTGCAGGTGGAGACATTGCTCCAACAACAAGGCATTATAGAAGTGTGTCAATGGATATTTTATGGGGAGGATGAACTTTGCTGATGAATCACCTAAGCTTCCTCCTTCTCCTGGAGGGCATATTGGTCAATTATCCCCAAATAATTCAATCGACTCAAATTCAAATACAAATACGTTTAGTTTGGAGTTTGGAATTGGTGAGTTTACAGGGGCTGAGCTCAAGAAAATCATGGCTAATGAGAAACTTGCAGAGATTGCTTTATCTGATCCCAAACAAGCCAAAAGGTATGTAGCTTTTTTCAAATTCATTAATATTTACATTATAATTGGAGAAATCTGAATATTTATTTTGATATTTGAATAAACAAATATATTTTTTATATGATATGTTTTAGGATTTTGGCAAATCGACAATCTGCTGCAAGATCAAAAGAGAGGAAAATGCGTTACATTACAGAATTGGAGCACAAGGTTCAAACTTTACAGACTGAAGCAACCTAATAAAAAAACAAAAATCTCACTACCACCCTTAAGTATTATATCATTATACAATACATGACTAAAAATTACACTTTTCGTCCCTGTGTTGTATTGATTTTCACTATTCCATAACATGCCTTTTATAGAAGGCCATTTAGTCCCATCACATACCTTGTACCCATTTGCTTCCACTTTAATCATCATCATTACAAAGATATTTTTCAGAAATCATCACCAATTGTCAAATATATGGTTTTCAAGAGTCATCCAGAGAAATGAAACAGTGAATTATGAACTTAAAGCCTTTTACAATGGTGTCTGTCTCGTAGACTAAAAGTGTTATAGAAAAATGAATTATGGAAGAAAAAGGGAAAAAGGGCGAAAATATTCTTTTTTGGATCATAAAAAGGACCACTTTTTCATCCCTAATTCGATGTTTCATAAAAAATTTAGTCACTGGGACATATGCCATTTATAAAAGGGTGTTAAGCCCGATAATATACCTTGCAGAAGAGGGCATGTAGGTCATTTCATTTATCTCTGCAATGGGAAAATATAATCACAAATTACTTAAAACAAATTTGTCATGTAGTTTGGTTATGCAAAAGTAGATCGACGAGGTCTTGTTATGCTGACATTTCAGCCTGCTATTGGTGAGCGCAAATGTGATTCAGAAAAAGAAACAGGTAATGGAACATTGGTAATTATAATTTACTTTCTATTTCCTGAGTTATTAAAATTGGAATAGAATGAAACATTACTATGGAATAGAATAATCCTCTTTAGCGATCTAACTGGTTTTTTGATGTGTGGTTGTTTGCCTTGTCAGTGACAGAAGTTGGATCATTCATAAGTTTAGGTCCAGGAGATTCTTGTGAATTCTTCCATGATCCATTAATACAATCGAGGTATAATAATAACCATTTGTTATTTATGGTAAATATACATTGAAAAATCACTCTTTGCTTACCATGTTGAAATATTAATTGATTATGGTCTATATTGATTATGTCTATATTATAGGGATGCAAGTCATTTCTCTAAGTAGGTTATTTTTGTATATAATGAGAATGAACATAGTTTTCATGTCCATGGCGGAACCAGAAAATTTTCCTAAGGGTAGCACAAAAAAAGTATCGATAAAGGATAGTAATATATATATATATATATATATATATATATATATATATATTATGACTTCATTAGATATATCAAAATAATGTAAAAATTTACATTTTAAAGTTGACATCTTCGTTAACATAATTATAAAGTACAATTTCATTAGATATAAGCTTTAGTGTTGAATTAATTTGTTGTTTATGTTAGGTTAGTACACACGCCATCTTTATTTATATTAGTGGGCCATTTCTTCTAATCAATGGGCTTCTAAATGATAAAATGGCTTTTTTAATTTAACCTTCATAGGAGCACACTTGATTTCACATTTCATACATGAAATATATATCTAATAAAATTCAATTTTTCAGTACAGGTGGGGAGTAAATGAGGGGTAGTACCAACACAGTGGCCGAACTATTCATGTCTCTTATTAGTATGTAAATTTGATGTTAGTTATATATAAAAATGGTTATTGAATTTATATTGGAGTTTTATTTGCGTGCAGCTGTAGCAAAAAATATCTTGAAAACAAACGAACGATTAACAGTTCCTGTAAGTAGAACAAAGTTTGCAATTGGGTAGTGCAGCTTTCAGTGTATGTGTCCTTCGGATCCACTTGTCATGAACAAATTCATTGGGCACACAAAAGATGTGATGGGTTTGATCAACTGGTACTGGCTCTTTAGTCTTTCTTTTTATATCTTTTTATGAAATCAACTTATGATATGAGCTCTGTTTTTCACATGGTCTAGGACCACTAATTGCTTAGGATGGTAACTGGGTTGTCTTTTCGCGCCCTCCTTTGATACACCATAAAGGCATGAAGATTCTCTCTCTCTCTCTCTCTCTCTCTCTCTCTCCAAATTCTATAACAAACAACAACAGGTAAATAGATGCCAACATTTTGCTTAAAATTTTGTGAACATTGAAAAAAAAACGAGGTCGATAGTGCCTTTTTCATGAGATTGTCAAAAGTTGAATAAAATAAAAAAAATAAACAAGGGTAATATTGTAATAGGGAGGGTCTTAATACATAAAGTGACCAACCTCTCACTTAGCACGACAAGTCATTTTGATTTTATTAAGTAAAAAAGAAACAACCTTATCAATCTACATGCATTTAGTCATGTACTGTTGTCCCACAATTTGTCATCATAGAAGAAGACCCTGCTGTCCCACAAGGGTAATATTGTAATAGGGATGCTTTATATGTCATCATAGAAGACCCTGCTGTCCTATAATTTGTAACAATTTGTATTATCATTATTTGATTTTAATAATAATTTGTTTTGTTTTACTGTTGAGGTTATAGACTGATAGTCTTACTTTTCATGTCATTATTATTTATTTCTTTTTTTGTTTGCAGTTTCTTGCAGAAACTTTGGATGTTGTTCAAGACATTGATTGGGTCATTTCTCTTGGAAATGCTTTTGCAAAGAAGTATGAGCTTTATACATACGATGATGAGCATTCTGCACTACTTCACAGGTATGAACTATTGGGTTTTAAGCAATCTAACACTTCCTAAGTGTGCATGCAACCCTAATAAACCTTGGATCTATGTTTGTCTAAATACATGCAAAATAATAATTTTCCAAGGTTTATAACCTATCTAACATGGCATGGGGAACATTTCAATATAAAAGAGTTAGAAGAGATTACATACCTTTTGGTGAGTTTGGTTCTAAGGAGTTTGAGGGCCAAGCACCAATAGTGTGAATGCCTCAAATGGAATCACAAACACCACAAACTCTTGGAAAACTTTGAGAGAGTATACACCTTGTATAAAATCGGCCACACACATGCACACGCACATTAGTTCACTAGTTTTCTCTTAGGCTCCATTTCATGCTCCATAAGCATGCTTATATAGTGTGCATGGTTAGGGTGAAACCCTAATAACCCATGTATTTTCCTTTCCAAGGATCCATGGGTTAAAAGCTCCATGGATCATCCATGGACTTCCACATAAGCCTAGCCCATTAACAAATGAGTATTAGCCCACACTATATATAAAACAAATAGCCCATAATCTAATTAGTCTTCTTTTTAATCTCTAAATTAATTCATAATTAATTTAAGACTAAAACTAATTAAATAACGTAACTTCATATTAATATATTATAACTCATAATATATTAACAAACATATGTGTATAACTCTCATAAAATTATCCATAATAGTTTGGATGAGATGCAACCCAAATGGACCATGCCGATCGGGTCAAGTATATACCAAATAAGTTATGGACTTAGACACCTTATCCAACAGACTCCCACTTGGATAAGTCTAATAACTATATTTGCCTATAACTTCAGGAACCAACCAGAAATCGTAGCTCTCGAAAACTCCCTCGAACAATGAAGACTCTGTCGAACTATGAAGCGCCATTTTAGATAAGTGATCACATAATCCTCTGTTCTCATGATATCAGCCGGACAAACACATGGAGCTGTGTCTTGCTTATTGTCTAGCAGTTGTTTCTCGATTTTCCGATTTGTTTGACGAAGAACTCCACTGAACACATCGGTTTAGTTCTGACTAGGCCTGGTACATGGATCAACACAAAATCATCAAGGGGCCCAGATATCGTTTCTATTTCTAGAAGGAACAGATAAACTTCGACCGATATGCTTGTTCTACTACTTATTGAATTGTACACAAAGGCACGTTTTATAACATCAAGTTACTGATGCGTTTACATGCAATCAATGCACAACCAACTCATAGGTAACAACTCATATCTCTAGGTTCAAAGATTTATATGATGTTATCGTCTCACGATCACTCGAGATAAATTCCATGAAGTGATACAAGTGAGCGTGGGTTTATACCAATACTCATAACTTATGAGTACTCATGAATGCTGCAACAACCATTGCTATGTCTAAACACCTTTAAGGCATCTACAAACCCAATTCATGACAATCTTGATTCATAGCTACTTCCGACGTATGATCAATTATGGAGGTTTGAATAAATTAATTATTCTGGAAGTCAAAACATGCAAAACTGAAACAATAGTAAATAATTGACAATGATAGTAACACTTTACTCATGAATAAATCAAAAATTTTATTCATCATCAAACGTCGATTACATTTTACAAGTTTCAGGAAAACTATCTAATATGTAAAACTGATATCGTCCCTCAGCCCGATGCGTCTTGCATGCTGAAAATGCTTAACCCTTGTCAGTCCCTTCGTAAGGGGATCTGCAGGATTATCATCCGACGATATCCTCCTTGTCACAAGGATTCCTTCTTCAATCTTGTGTCTTATGAAGTGATATTTTCTGTCAATGTGTCTGGATCTGCCATGATCTCTTGGTTCCTTGGCTAAGATAACCGCACCATTGTTGTCACAGAAAATCTCTATAGGTTCCTTAATAGCTGGTACAACTCCAAGGTCTCCGATGAAGTTCTTTAGCCATATCACCTCCTTTGCTGCTTCACTCGCTGCTATATACTCTGATTCACAAGTCGAATCAGCCACCGTCTCCTGCTTGGAACTCTTCCAAGAAATTGCCCCTCCATTTAAGGTAAAGATCCAGCCCGACTGAGAGCAGAAATTATCCCTATCAGTCTGAAAACTAGCATCACTATACCCTAATACTTTCAAGTCATCACTACCACCAAGGGTAAGGATCCAATCCTTAGTCCTCCGCAGGTACTTGAGAATGTTCTTTACCGCTGTCCAATGAGCCTTGCCAGGGTTCCCCTGATACCTGCTGACCATGCTCAAAGCAAATGCCACATCACGACGGGTACAAGTCATAGCATACATGATCGAGCCAACTGCGGAAGCATACGGTAATTGGCTCATCTCAGCTATCTCTGCCTCTGTACTCGGACTCTGAGTCTTACTCAGTTTGGTATTGCTTTGGATCGGTAAATCTCCTTTCTTGGAATTCTCCATGTTGAACCTTTTCAACACCTTATCCAAGTAGATACTCTGACTAAGTCCAATTAGTCTTCTACTCCTTTCTCTTAATATCCTTATCCCTAGGATATAGGTAGCCTCCCCTAGGTCCTTCATAGCAAAGCACTTCCCAAGCCAGGACTTAACCTCCTGCAAGGTTGGATGTCATTTCCTATGAGTAGTATGTCATCCACATACAGTACCAAGAAGCTAACTATACTCCCACTAGCTCTGACATACACGCAAGACTCATCTTCGCTTCTCGAGAAGCCAAACTCTTTTACCTTCTCATCAAAACAAAGATTCCAGCTACGAGATGCTTGTTTTAATCCATAAATGGATTTCTCAACTTTCCATTAAGGAAAGCGGTTTTGACATCCATTTGCCATATTTCATAATCATGAAATGCTGCAATGGCTAACATAATCCTAATAGACTTAATCTTTGCTACCGGCGAGAAGGTTTCATCATAATCAATACCTTGAGTTTGAGTAAAACCCTTTGCAAAAAGTCGAGCCTTATAAGTATGCACTTTTCCTTCCATGTCTCTTCTTCTTGAAGATCCATTTGCACCCGACTGTTTTACGGCCTGGTACATGTCAACCAAGTTCCAAACTTGATTGTCATACATGGACTGTATCTCGCTGTCCATAGCCTCCTTCCATTTAGCAGACTCCGGGCCTGCCATGGCTTCCTTAACACTGCTGGGTTCATCCAAATTTACCAGTGTACTATCACTAATAAACGTATCACCTTCCGTAGTAATATGAAAACCATAATAAAACGAAGGTGTGTTCCTAACCCGTGTGGAACGCCTCGGAGGTACAGACTCGTCAGCTGGATCAACAGGAGTTTCCTCCTCAGGTTGATTGCTAGTGTCTGAGGTTCCTTCACCAATTGATTCTTGAATTTCTTCAAGATCAATCTGCCTCCCACTGTCTCCTTGGCTTATAAATTCTTTCTCACGAAAGATCCCTCTTCGTGCTACAAAGACCACATTCTCACTGGGTCTGTAGAAGAGGTAACCGAAGGATTTCTGTGGGTAGCCGATGAAAATACACCTTTCACTTCGGGGTTCAAGCTTATCATGAGTTTCACGCCTCACGAAAGCTTCGCAACCCCAAATTTTGATGTGGTCCAAATTGGGAACCTTCCCAGTCCACATCTCATGAGGTGTTTTGGTAACCTTCTTTGTAGGGACTAGATTAAGGATATGGGCGGCAGTCTCTAAGGCATACCCCCAAAAAGAGATTGGTAACGAAACTCGACTCATCATAGAGCGAACCATGTCCAAAAAGTTCGATTACGCCTCTCAGCTACACCATTCAGCTGTGGTGTCCTGGGAGGAGTCAATTGTGAGACAATCCCACACTCCTTAAGATAGTCAAGGAACTCGGTGCTAAGATACTCACCACCTCGATCGGATCGAAGCATCTTAATGTTCCTGCCCAATTGATTTTCTACTTCCTGTTTGAATTCCTTAAACCTTTCAAAGGTTTCTGACTTATGTTTGATTAAGTAGACATACCCATATCTACTAAAATCATCAATAAAAGTCACATAATACCGATTAGCATCCCTTGTGGCGGTTTTGAATGGCCCACATACATCAGTATGTATTAGGTCCAACAAACCTCACCCCTCTCACAAGTTCCAGTGAAGGGTGATTTTGTCATCTTTCCAAGTAGACAAGATTCACAACTATCATCGATTTAAGGTCAAATGATTCCAAGACTCCACTCTTTTGGAGTTGGCCTATGCGTTTCTTGTTTACATGTCCAAGACGACAATGCCACAATGATGCTTTATCTAGGCTAGTAGAAGAATCAATATACAACACATTATTTCCTAAGTTGTCTACAATCGACACAGTTTCATACACACCATCACAAGGTAATGCTTTAAAATAAAACACATTTTAAAGAAAGCATTAATACCACCACATTCATTATCAAACGAAAAGGTAAAACCTTGTTTGTACAAAGCATGAAAAGAAATAATATTCCTCGCCATTTCAGACGAGTACACACATTTATTCAAATCTAATTTTAACCCATTATTAAGCAACAAAGTATAAACTCCAATCTTGGAAACAGGTGAAGCCTTCCTATTCCCCATGATTAAGTTTATCTTCCCGTGCTCCACATCCTCACTTCTTCTTAGGCCCTGCAAATCAGAACATATGTGAATACCACATCCTGTATCAAGCACCCAAGAGTTAGAATATGTTGAGTAATTAGACAATATAGTGTAAATACCTGCATGGGTGGGTTTCACTTTCCCATCCTTTAGATCCTGCAAGTACTTAGGGCAGTTTCGCTTCCAGTGTGCCTTTTCATGGCAATAAAAGCATTCAGCATCCTTGGGAATGGCAGAAGGAGTGGCAGAACCGCTCTTGGTCTTTGATGAGGAGCCTTCAAGAGACTTTCCCTTGGTACCCTTCGAAGGGTGCTTCCTCTTCTTCCCTTTGCCTTGCCCAATAGCTAAAACAGGGGTAGATGTTGGAGTAGGAGTAGTAGAGGTAACAACCGCCTTACCCTTAAGACCGGATTCGCGGTCTTCAAGAGTCCTTGAAGCTTGCTGAGGGTAACTTCCTCCTTGTTCATATGATATGTCATTCGAAAATGATCATAACAAGAAGGCAAGGAGTGCAAAATGATGTCAATTGCCAACTCCTCAGGGATGTTAACATTCAGCTTCAGCAAACGGTCCACATACCTTTGCATCTTTTGCATGTGGCCCGTGACGGATTCACCGTCCTTCATGCGGGTAGTTATTATGGAGGAGATTATTTCATACCGCTCCTGACGAGCACTCTGATGGTACCTTTCCATCAGGTCTTGGTGCATCTCAAAAGGGTAGAAATCTTCATACGACTTTTGGAGCTCGGCTGTCATCGTGGCCATCATGATACATGCCACCTTAGTAGCATCTCTCTCATGAGTCCTGAATTCAGCGATCTCCTCAGGAGTAGCAGTAGACTCATCAAGTTCTTTTAACTCCTTATCGAGGACATATTCCTTGTCCTCATAACGAGTAACCATCCTGATGTTCCTAATCCAATCCATGAAGTTGGAACCATCAAAGATGACCCTCCCACAAAGATTCATGAGAGAGAAAGAACCAGTTGGGTTAGAGCCTGAAGCATTAGTGTTGGAAGACATCTGAAAGAGAGTAAGTTTAGATTAGATATATAGGATCCTTAATAAGACACCCAAATGTAATATTAAGGCTAGGATCCAATCACAATATATTACACTTAGAAGAGGGATGCCGTAATCTAAGTAATAATATATTTGAAAGGTAGGTGAATGACGATTCACCAATTTCCACCATGAAAACGAAATGATTTATTAGGTTTAATTGGATTTGAAATTCCTAGATTCTTTTGAGATTCATTGAACTTTTCAATGGCATGTTTCAATCTCGATTGTGCCCTTCAAG